GCTGATCTGAGTGTGCGTTTCAGCAGCCGTGAGTGCCTTAGTTAACGACTGTATCTACATCGGTGTGACACGTACAGTTGGAAGCCCCTTGTTTTCTTTCCCACACTGTGGTACTCGTTTATCTATCTCAGAAGAATGAAAGGCAGGTGACTTAACCGGGGTTTGAACCCAGGGCCTCTCGACTCCGTGATCGATGTTATGCTGACCGGGCGACCCCTGTCATCCTTATACATTTTTGCTGTACTTTCCTCGGCATTCTTCCTCAACTGTGTAATATGTTAACTGCTTTATTAAAAGGCGTAAAAGATTTCTATAATACATTGCATCAACTTTTTATGCTGTTTTAATTAATTTTAATGAAGCTGACCGCCTATATTCAGGCATTTGCTGCGATCTCTGCCTTTTTAGCTTTCTAGAAGAACAGTAACGCGCTCAGTCAGACTCGCCTTTATGACTGGTCAGTACTTCAGTATGTGACTTCTGACTGTGTTGCTTCAGTATCGTGGAATTCATACGTTTCACAGAACCTCGTAAATAAAACACGATGAAGACTTCGCAGGTTTTATTTCTGAAGTAGGTTAAATCTATTTTCTTACAAACCGGCAGTTATTCACGGCAGTCATTTACAAAGCGGAAACTGGCACGTGATTCAGTGATTTGAGATTTATGTATCTCATTTTTCTCTTGTCCGTATTTGTTTCTGCCCTTCGCCTTTTGTTGTGCAACTGTACGTTCAGTGAATAATCGAATTTTATTTTGAGGGCGAGTACTTTGGAAAGGAGGAAGTGCAGTCGACGCACGAAGGCAGGTCCTCTGCTGTCGGCAGTACTGCACCGTGCAAACGTTGTTTTATGACTTTCGAAAATTTTCTGCCCGTTCAAAGCGGGGAAAGTTGCAGATTGATAGCAGCGTCTTCATGTAGAAGATACGACGACTTTTCGCTTGGCATGCTATTTACATCTTTTTGAAAGCTCCTGACACATCTCGAGGATACAGCTTCCAAGTTTGTAACTTTTATTACTTCTTCGAATTGGTACAGCTTTACCATTTTTGTTGATTGTATTAATTTCATAAATGGATTTTATGCGCACGAAAATGTTTTTGGAGAAGGCTCTCGGCCATCCTGCCGAGGCGAGTTGTTGATGCTGAGGATTCGTAAACCAAGGCAAAACAACCCTGTGATGAGTCCGGTCTCCAAATGATCAGATATGCGGAGAACAGCCGGAAAAATGGATAATTGGTTAAGTGAAGGAATTCAGAAAAAAAATGGAGTTAAGCGAAATGATGAACCATAATGCAGAATTAAGGAAAGAATACGAAAAGATAATAAATATATCAAGAAAAGGCGGTACAAAGAGGCGCAGTTAAAAGAAATGTGTCACTCTGTAAATGTTGTTTATGCAACAGCACACAATGCATATATACTACCGGAGAAGTAGGAAAATCATTTTCGTCAAAATTGTGTGTTGTCAGTACGAATAAGGGACATGTTTTAACAGGAAATGCAATAGCACGGAACATATGACGAAACAGTTTCAAGAAACTGTATTGCCAAGTGATCGTGCGTACGTTCCTTCATTATCTGCTCAAACAAGACCAGTAGCCAAATTTGTTGCTTGAAGAACAGGCAAGTACGATTGAAAGTTTTAAAATATACCATCTTGTGTAAGCTGTCCCTTCTCTAGGCCAGGAGGTTACAATTCTGATTGTTTAAGAATGGGGTGATGATGCCATATAATGATGCTGCCACATAATGCATATATAACTACCGAAGAAGTAGGAAAATCATTTTCATCAAAATTTTATGTTGTCAGTTAGATTAATGGACAGGTTTTAACAGGAAATGCAATAGCATGGAACAGAGAGAAAGACAATTTCGAGAAACTGTATAGCCAGTCGACCGTGCCTACGTTCACTCATTTATCTACTCAGAATAAACCAATAAACAAATTTCTTGCTTGAAGAAGGGACAGGAACGATTAAAAGCTTTAAAATATGCCATCGAGTGAGAGCTGTTCATTCTTTAGGTCATGAGGTTGTAACTGTGATGGTTTAAGAATGGGATAATGATGCCGCATGCAAGATGCGTTCGACGAACTGTCTTGACCACGTCACATGAAGGACGGTCCAGGGGCCCACTTCGGACCAGATGGTTTGACTGTATAGAAAACCTGGAGTTGTCTCGCCTTGGAGTCCATACCTGTGAGCTCGTCTATTTAACGGCGAACTGGGACCGTTGGAAAAGCATGCTGAAGCAACTGTCTCTACTTAAAGGAATGACGGCATTGAAAATGAATGATTATGCATGAATTGTGGAAAAGTGTATCAGTACCAACAGGATAATATTCAGCAACTTTATTCGCTTCATACCCTTCTTGAAAGTGCTTGACAAAAGTTTACGGAGGCAGTGGAATCATAAATTTTTATGAAGTCCCTGTTGCAGAGAACATGGATGAAGACGCTGTGAAATGATTCAAGATTTAAAAAAACATCATTACAACTTACATTCTTTCGCCATACTTATTTAATATCATATTAGCTCTAACGATTAAGTAAATACCTTAAGCGAAAAGAACTTTGCTATGTGGAGAGAAGTAGAACATTTGTGACCTTTTCATCATATCTGTATGCTCGTTTGCGATGAAGAACTGTTACTGAAGCACAGGTTATGAAATGGTTAACTCGTTTAACTGCTGAATAGCGTTTTCCGCCAATTCAGATTAGACTGAATGATACGTTAATTGCTCTCTACTTTCGACAAAAAAGACTCTTTATACTTGACTCTAATATATTTTAGCACTCCAAAATGCCAACCTCAACGCTTATGTCATGAAAAGCAGGTAAACATCAAATTAAAGCAAATGGCTTTTGTCATAATAGTTGCCGGATATGAATCTGAGATACCATTTAAAATGACCAGGCATCACAAACTATCATACACAGGGATGAAAGATATTTTTCTTGTTATGCACTACGGCAGCCGAGAAAGTTTGAGACCGTGAGCTGCGGAGATTGTTCCAATCATTTGAAGCTTGGTGCAATTCGTTGATGGTGCTCTGAACCTCTGAACTGAGAATGATTACCTTAGTGGGTCAAGCAGAGGAACAATCAAGGTTTTTTACGGCTAAGTACGACGATGCAGCTATTTACTGAAACGTCTAACATTATTATGACTCCCCAAAGGAATCAAGGAACGGTTTCTAAGAACCGCATTACTTCCTCTATATACATATGCTTCACCAATATGTGTCTCCTTTCGCATAGTGAACCTACGCAAATTTTGTTCTGGTCTAAAAATTGTCGACAGAGCAGATCGGCTGTCCTATATGAATGTCGTAAGCGTCGTGGTAGATAAGATTGTAAGATCAGTTGTGAAGCTTGCTAAGTCTATTCTAATCAAACCTTTGCATCCCTTGCACAAGGCTCTTTCACACTGCGCTTACAGGTCTCATTCCACAAGGTCCACGAGGACTGAAGCATGCAGAAGGCGTGATTCCGTTTTCGTCTCGGTCTCTGCGAAGGCGTAATCTGCTCGAATCTACTCCTCTAATACTAACCCATGCATTTAGATATTCATCTGCATTCGTTTTATATCAGTTGTTCCGTTTTCTCTTCATGATTATTTATTCCTTGTCTCATTGTGTATTCTTGGGCATTTTATGTATATTACTATACCAATTGAACAGTGATTGCTGAAATGTTAGTCGATGCTAGTTTAGCGTGCTATTTCATGATTCGTTGAACGTCAAGCACTGAACATCCAGAAATGACGAGAAAATGACTCTGATGTCTGTTACCCGTTACAAAACTAAAAATATAACGTAAACGGTGCATCATATCAACACTTGAACAGTAAATAAAGTATATAACTGTGGTAATGTTTCTGTGTACATTATCAGTACAACGCTGGGAGACAAGCAAAGGTAGATGTCTACTAAGGATTTGGCGCGGTTAGAACGGAGGATTTACTAGATCATGTAAGAAAATGTGAATGTATACTAAGCGCTTAACGTCTCGTACACCAGATTTCACGGCTTATTGTACAGACTCCTTGATCCTAGTTTCATAAGGGTCGTATAGGCAGGCCATGGCGCCATCCTGTTTAACTGCCCTTTAGGCAAGTAGAAGCAGGATGTGCCCTGACATCCAGCTTTTGAGGAAATAAGTGGTTGCTAACGGACTCGTACGAATCCGTAAAACTGATTTCTAAGTGTCCCATTACTTTCTTGTGATCTAGCGACATTCAGGCAGTGGAAAGTAGCCAAAACGAGGTGACGCGGGAGCTAATAGCGCAAGATGAAGCTATGCGAAATAACTGGTGCTCGTTGGTCGTAAAGGTGTTGATAGCGGGCCATTGCGTCGTTGGTGAGTGGCTGGCGAGCCGACTGCTCTTGACCACCACTGAACCGCCAACATTTGAAAGTTTTATTTGTTTTAATTGGGTGATACGTTCAGTTGTCTGTTGATTATCTCATCAGTTAAATGTATTTTCCGAACTGTTTAAAGACAGAAAAATGGTTATTAATCATATCATTTCTGTTGACATAATGGGTTTACTTGACATTCTTTTTTTTTGTTCTTATCGAATCACGATCGGCCAACTTTCTGTGCAGATTTGCGCTATCGATGTTCTCATTTATTAATCATTTTTAACTTATGAGCAGTTTATGTTCTCGATTAGTTTGCGAAGTTCATTTATATGATGCTGATACTTAGGTTTTTCTCGTAAATTTATGGCTGAGGATGAAAAAACGTTTCTTTGTGGCTATCGAAAGATACCTCGTTACGGAACAACCGCTGGAGTTCCTCATTCCTCTCCGCGAACGATTAAATACAAAGTAGAACCAACCGACACACTTGCCGGCATCGCTTTGAAGTTCGGGACCTCGGTAGGTACTTTCACTGAAAGCGTGTATACTATCTGGATTGTTCTGCTTGGTCAGAAATATGTTTCTATTATTGCTTTACTGTAGTTTAATTTTGAGTCAGTTTTGTCAAATATCTGCAGTGCCCTATGCGCTAGGGTGAGCGTCTAACAATCAAATTAAAGGCCGTGCGACTGGTTGAAGCATAGCGGAAAGTATATTTCTGAACCGCCAAAGTAACCATGAATGTCTGTCTTGAACTCTCATCTGGTGGCACGAGGCAGTGGTACCCGGAAATACAGGAGTTCCTCATACATCTTAAGGAAAAAGAAAGAAATGCTGGAAACCGTTATATCGGTTTCCCGTAGAAACGTCATGATTTGCCTCGCCCTTTTCGTTTAATAACGTAGCGCTTGTTTCCATCACAATGCCGTCAGTCTAAAGTTTTATAGGTTAGAACGACGACTTCGAGACTGAACATAAAATTCAGCAAATGTGACCCACTGAAATTTAATAGGAGACCAAGTCGTTTTAGGAAGCTTTTAGATAAATTGGGGAAAAATCAGAAAAACGTTTATTACCGAATAATAAATGACTGCCATGTTTCAAGTGCATAAGTAATTTGAATAATGGGTGAGAAGCTGAATATGCTGCTAAAAAATAATTTAGAAAGAATAGCAGGCTACGAACATTTGTAAAGTCATTTCACAACCAGGGGATGACTTTTTTACATTTTATGATAACTTCCAAGTATGTTGTGATACCTTGGATAAAGATGGCCTTGACGGGAGAAGATTTTGAAAATGGCAAGGGGTTATAGTGAACACTAGGTTGTTGTTGACAACCCTCTACGAAGGTAAACTCAGTTGCTTGAAGTATTCCTGAAAAAGGCTGGGTATAAACAGATTCCTTTAACAAAAATAGCTTTAAGGGAAGTTTTAAAGGAAAGCCAGAAAGTGTTAAGTGAATTTCAAATCCATTTTGCAGAAATACAGTACAGATTTATACACGAACAAAGTCGCATGTTTTAAAAAACTTTAGGCAGTGCTTTGTGAAAGAAACAGGCTTATACTCCAAAAAAAAGTTGCCAGACGATTTAGGCACTGGATTTAAATGAAAGTGTTTAAGCTTTTATCATATTTACAAATACCGTAGTGATTCAGAAGCAAGATCTGAAAAGATTATGCATTTGAGGTAAAAATGGCATGTAAGTGTCCAAACAGAGTGACATCTTTTGAAAGATATTCAAAAACAAGAACTGGAATTGTATTCAGCGTAAGCTCAACTGCAAGGACAGCAAAATTTAGGAAACAGAAAGCTCACAAACCGGTACACACACCTAAGCAGATTTCCTTTAGTCTGATAACTCTTGATTGTCATTACTTCATTTACCGTTCGTTGGAAGATTTCACGGCTAGAAAAACTCTCAGACTTTTGACAAACAATCCTTACTTCGCTCATTGCCCTTTTTGCGCAACATAGACATCGCAACTGAATTTTAAAAAACCACGTAGCTTGTCCTTAAATAATGTAAGACCTTTCCTCATGAATGTGTAACAGCTGCGATAAACGTTTCATTATTACAAGAATATTAATTTTAGATGACCGAAATTAAACGAGTCAACCGGTTGTGGTCCCAGGAAAGCATGTATCTGCATGAATACTTAGACATTCCAGTGAGCGATTACGAACATTATCTCGAAGATACAGAAATTTGTGCGACTACAGCTGCAGAACGTAAATCTTCTTTCTGTTCCACTTCTTTCGAAGATAAAACTGCGATACCATTGCAATGCATAAAGTCGAAGAAACCGAAGAGACGAAGCACAGAAGGCACATCGACGGTCGCTTACCCGTCAGCAGGTGAATTTTTCGAAAAGATTGATTCTTGCATTAGGCAGATCACGAACAACGTGAAGCACATGGAAGAAAATTTTGAAACGCTTTCGTAGCACATGAACGACGATCATCGTCAAACGTATTATAGTTACTGAAAGATTATGTTCGGCCGTTTTTCGTCTTGGCAGCTTGCTCCCTCGACAGAATATGTCGTTAACGGAAACGGTAGCTAACGCATTAAAGCGCTTCATATATGATCGTATGATTGTATCATAGTTCAGGTTTACTAGTTGTCCTCTCTGCTAATTTGTATGTAAATAAAACCAAGCCATCGCAATGACGTGAACATATTTACTGACGAATGCTGACAAACACTATTCATTTTGCGGATTCTCCAGCTGTCTTAACCTTTTTAGAAAGCGGCGCCTTTTTGCCTTTAGCAGTCGCTACCTTTTTTGTTACTTTTGGCTTTTGAACCTAAAATGCTGCTTATATTCTTATCGTCCATAAATTTTTACTAACCTCCTTATCTTTGCGTTCCTCTGGAACTGCTCTGCGCTTGCGCCTCTGCGCCAAAAGTGCAGCCCGTCTAATCACGGCAGCGTAAGGGTTCAGCTTAACCATTGTATTGAAGTTCTTCAGAGGGTTGAGTCTACGCGGACGACGTGCAGCTGGTTTCCTGAAGAAACAGAACATCAGAAAGCGACAAACCATTGTCATATCAAGAATTACATAGCTGGACGAATGGCTTTCTGGATCTCTTCGCTTCTGATTATGCGACTGAAATCGGCTACCGTCATCTTCGGCATTGGCAGGCTAGAAAAATATAGTACATCGTTAAAGCAAAACAGCTGAGAACCTCTAATGGAACTGAGATTAGATTAGATTAGCCATTCTCATTATTCCCTCCAGAGTCCCATTTTCATTACCTCAACGAAAAAGCATGACAACGGGTGAAAAAATGCCCGACTACAGATGAGAAAATGAGAAATATGCCCGACCAAGTCGAAGCAATACTCATCATACCACAGCCCTCCGGAGGCTGGATTGTCACCGGCGAAGGCAGAGCGTGCTAAGAATACCCGGGTTACGAATGACAGCTGCTACGGTTTACTAACGCTGGCAACGTGCAACCGTAGATCAATTCGAAACAATGCTTAAAAAGCAGGAATAACTTAGGAAAATCAAGTATGACTCATCGAAGTTAAAAGAAAGGAGGGCTGTTACGGCAAAACAGTGGAAGCCACGTGTTCTACACAGGAAGGACAAATGGAAGTACAGGGGGAACAGTGTTCATTATCCACATAAGACTGAAGAACAATGTAGAAGAAGTGGATAGTACTGCAAAGAGGTGTGCAAGGCTAATTCTCAGAGTTTCAAAGAGACGAACTCCAAGTGTTTTTTAAGCATAAGCACCGCCATCCAGCAATCCTGATAAAGAGACTGACGACTTTTACGAAGAAATAGAAGTGCTGGATACGAAAGGAGCGATTGCAAGTTCATTACTGGTGATTTCAACGCCAAAGTCAGACCGCAGTAAGGTAACGAATGACCCATAGGGCAATTTAGTTAAGGCGACAGGAAGGACAAGAACGAGCCGACTAATGGAATTTGCTGAAAAGAAGAAATTATTTATCATTATCATTTTTTCCAGAAGAGACCAAGCAAAAGATGAATATGGAAAGGTCTAAACGAGGTCAAGAATAAAATCGATTTCATTCTCAGTAACATGAAGAACACAATACAGGAAGTCGCGATGCTGAGCAGGTTTAATGCGGGAAGCGACCACAGGTTTGTCAGATGCAATGGACTCTGATTTTGCCCCTCAGTCAACTTCGATGATCGCCTATCCCTTCGGGTCGTGGAGGCAAACGCGTCAGACAGCATATCCAACGTTCTGATCCAGCACCGACGTTTGAACTAACGAGATAAAAGATAACCCCGAGCAGTCATTTCATAGATTCGCCTCAGCCTATTCTAGGCCGCCCAGGGATTTTCAGCAAGTCGGATAGGTATTTACGGTCGCGAAACGACAAATTTTAACTCAAGAGAGACGGGAATGTCATCAGAAAGATTCTAAACAATGCTGAACATTTCTACAGAAAACCGCACAAAATGAAAATAGCAACACCTTGGTGGCAATAAGGAACTTGAAGACACATGAAGCTGACGAAATACCAGATATCTTCCAAGTGTGGCATACAATAAATCATTCCCTAGAAAGGACTCCTGTTAAAAACGGCGCAACAGTATAACTCGTAGAATGATGAAGTGAAGTACTGGCCAAAATATTAACGTTTGTTTACACGTTGTCTGAAGGAAATTAAAATGTCAGACGGTTAGATTACTCTCCGTGATTCTACTCCACAAAAACGGATACAAAAAGATATGAAGAAACACATGCTGATCAGTTAGTTACCTAAAGGATCATCTCATTGACACTAAAGAACAGACTTCAAGAAAAATTGAACGTTGCACAGCCAAAAAAGTGAGTAAAATAGATCTAGCTCGATTGATTATCACCGGTCGAACAAAAAGACAAGCAACAAATGTCAGCTTCTCTGCCTGGGGTTCGCCGGCTTCGAGAAGGCTTTTTCGATTCAGTCTACAAACGTTTTGTACCGGACTGCTGGAAGAGCCAGCGAATAGAGAAAAGACATAAACCTGATCGCCGTGAATTACAAGAATGCAACTGCAAGTGTGAAGCTTCACAAAAGCACAGGCCCGTACAAAATCAAAAGGGCATCTGAGAAGGTGATGCAATATCACCGGATAATGTGACAATGTGCAGGACATGCTGCAGAAAGAATCTATCATCACTTGACGAGAGAAACATTCGACCGTATTCCGAAAGAGATAACGGCCCGTAGGAAGATCACCAGACCGATGAAAGGATGAATAGAAGTTCTGCGCGAAAAATGGATGAAAATGGCAGAGAGCAGAAGTCTCTGATAACGGTACGGAGGTGTGCATCCAGTAGAGAATCGGCAAAGACTGGTGCTAATAATGAGTAACTCAAAAACAGTATGAAATGAAAGCGAATTATAATCCCGTCAGTTTTATGTAACGTATATAAGATATAAGCATGTTAAGAGAGTCAGTACGAGTAAATCAATCAAGTCACCAACAGCAAAATGAGGCAAAAAATTTGGGGTTCATCAGTTAGCTCTAGGTAATGAGCAGAAAATGTAGGGTCTTGTCAATAAAGCAAGATAATCGCCTTTAAATCTTAACTGCCACTCTTAAGAGCGAAAGGTTTGAAACAAAGTCACTAATCCATCGCTTCCAGCCTATTAAAATAAAGATGTCTGAAATGCAGACAAATCTGAAAAACTGACTGAACTAGTATCTGTTGCAGCAGAAACTTCTGAGTTTGTTCAGCGAACTCCAAAATGCGAAGGTCCACCTCGCACAGCGTTACCCATTTAGGCCCCTGGCTGTTGTTTCCTCAGCTCAGCCAACGACTTGCAACGAATTTGCACAGTTTTGCTCACTTCCAATCTTTCTTGAACGCCGCTTTCTTTTTCCACGTACCATACAGATCATCCAACTTTCTGAAAGCACTTTCGGTCCAAATGACAAATCGACCCAGGTGACCCCCGGGCGCAAGCTTCAGCAGGTTCAAAGAGTCGACCCGCAGGAAATCGATTCCTAAATCACAGCATCGACAAATACGTGTCGATGGCATAGTATACAGATGATTGAAATTACCTGGAATATTACGAAACGCTCTACGAACGCCATTGTCTTGGTTGTAGATGATGACCGGACCTTTCTTCTTCTTGAAACGACGGTTCCGCATTTTGCCTTTGCCGGCTCGCAAGCGCTTACTGTTGTACACCTAGAGAACAAGACACTAACATGCCAGATGACCTAGCGTAAGCAACCAGGTTGTAAATCTATACTGATTGGCACTTTCGTGGATAGACTCATTTTCCCCATGTTTCTCGTAAAACACGTACGTCCTGGAAACACTGCTTGTAACGAAGACATTGCTCTAACTAATAAATTCATGAGAGATGCCTCTATCCACTGCGGGTGATATACATGGCCTGCTTATATAGCCCTCAGGCATTTTGTAGCAAGACGGACGACAACACGAGGAGCCCGCTTTCGTGCGTTATGCGTTTATGAACATACTCCTGAAGATGAACCTATATTTCTAATGTCGCTAGTAGGAACATATGAAAAAAGAAATTATATAAGTGTCAAAATGTCGCTTTCCTTAAACGTACATGATATTGGGTAAATTCTGAGACCTCTATTTTCACGAAGTTAATGGTAGTGGTACTGATCAGCAAGAATTGTCATTAACAAATGTATTTTTAAAAGGCAGAATCGAAGCAGCCGTGATAAGTACAATCTGCATTCTTCTCTACCCTTTCTGCTCACTTATTGGAGTAGTATTCAGTCATAAACCTCTGGAGGAAGAAAAGCGAGTCACACTGACCAGAGTTAAAAGTCACTCATTCGGTTTTAAGTCCTACGTTCTACCGACTGAATAACCACAATCTGAAGCAACGTGTGATAAACTACTTGCATATGGAAACTCGTGGTAAAGATAAAGATTGCTCGACACGTTAATCGTATCCGCCACCTCAGGACTTCAAAACTGAGCTACGCACTATGCCACCGCGCCAATACATATACAGAGTTCCTTGAAGCCTATCTGGTGACCAGAATAGTACTGTCTTAGAAAACAAAGTGAAGCGCATGACTGCAATTGAGGTTCTAAAATATGATAGAGCTGTGCATAACCTGTTTAAACAAGGTGCTCAAGATATCGATTAGTAACGGCATGATGCCATAATGTCGTGTAACCCAAACTGATAGAATTATACCTATTAACTCGTCATTTCAAAAGAAAACGATATAAAACTTCACTGACAGTCAAGACAATCTGATACACCCAATGCTTGTACAGAGACAGTCGAAAAGTCCTCGTCCTGCGAGTAGCTAGCTGAAAAAGACTGTAGGTTAGCTTGAAGACGTTTCAGCATTCTAAAAAATTTCATCGCTCTACTCTGCAACACAATCATCTAAAGTATAACCTCTTTTAATCAACTAGCGTCAGGTAAAAATGGTCATTTCGAGTGGCGGTCCAATTAGACGAGCTAAAATCTGTCCACGTCGAAGTCTCTCTTACGCGTCTTATTCCTTAAAGTAGTCTGATTAACTATTCTTCCTAGCTGTGGTCATTTAAAATGCTATCTTGACTTCTGTCGCTATCACGCTGAGAATTTTCTGAAGCAGGCCCTCCTGATCATGGTAACACTCGAGTTTTTTCTCTGTGACAATGTCAGGCAGCTCATCCAATCTTATATTATTCAAAATCCATTTTCATATATCCTGCAACAAAATATCCGCCGATCGTTAAATATTTTGCCGCCGCCTCTATTTTGCGTTGTGGAAACTGTTCACAAAATATCAACGAGAAGTCTTCTGAAAGATTTTAACCGAAAATCAACGGAGTTTGATATGGATCTGGTCTAATCGTGTTAAACGGTTAACTAAGAGAACTCGTTAAGCTTAGACACAACACTGCAAAAATTCCGTTAAGCACAGGAAGTCCTTCAGAAGCAACTTGGCTTCACTGTATAAAAACGATGGCTTCATAGCATGCAATATCACAGCATTTCTGGTTGAATTCATAAGCTCTTGTCGTTTACTGATTACTCTATGCTCGAGGATACCCCAGTGCAACTGGAAAAAACTTTTAAATTACCCTAAGATGAGAAATATTCAGTTAATGTGTATTGGTTATCATACTGAAAAACAGCAGAAAACGCAGTTATTAATTTAAAATAGCTCGGGAAATCGAAGAATATGAAAAACAATAAAGCCACAATCGCCTATTTCGAGGTCGACTTTAGTACAATCAGCGAAACAAACCGACTGCATAAACACATTAAAAAGGTTCGAACTGTTCAGTCCTGCAAACAGCTACAAAAGATACCAACAAGAACAATGAATTTACGCGAAAATGGATCAGCCTAGTGGCACTGATAATAAACCATTGCAATGCAGCTGCTGGATAGAGAAAACCTGCCCTAAGGCTAGAATACATTCGAATGCTACGAACGACAACTACCGCATTATGGAAAAAATCCATAACATGAACTAAAACGGAGAAAATGATTTACGTTACTACCCGATTAACCTACATTTACGGCGTGTTAAGCAAAACAGTATCCTTTTGCTATTGCATAGTAATCTTCAGTAACTACAAGTTACTTTTTCAATATCAGCCC